TACTTAGGAGTGGTTAAGATCCCCGATGCTCGGAAAAGCTTAACAAGGTTTCGTATTAGCTGCCACAATCTTTACATTGAGAGGGGCCGTTACGAAACCCCCCTAGTACCAAGAGAACATCGATGGTGCACTTTTTGCTTTCTCAGCAAGGGGCTTAAGCCTATTGAGGACGAAATTCATGTTCTAACTGACTGTTTACTCTACTCCTCAGTTAGAGAAAAATTTAACTTCCATCCCAAAAATATTACTGACCTAGCCGGTTTGCTATCCGATAAAACACTAGACCCTACAAAATTTACTGCCACAGCAAGAGCAATCCATTCAATTCTCTCTGTGAACGAACATTTTACAGCCTACTATAAGAGCCCAGATTTCCACTCAAATACTGGCCAATGCATAATGCTATAGGACCTCAAAAATAGTATTATAAAACATTTCTATTTTATCCCTACACATTTGTAAATAACTAGAATTGTGTAACCTTAAATTATTTCAGAATTATAACTATTGTGAATTCAATAAAATAATTATCACTTTTGTATCCTTGTATCCTTGTATCCTTGTATCCTTGTATCCTTGACTTTATCTATAAAATTGCATCTCCATTGATATTTATGTAACTCGAAAAACTTTTTCTACCAAAAACGTTTTTGATCGGGAATCGTCTTTAAATTATTTTGGGGAATATTTTGACTTGATATAACGACGTCGTCGTAATGACACAAGTGACTGATCAACCACCTTATTTGATAGTGTTTTTAAAAATAAAGTATTTATATTTTTAACTTGGGGGTGTAAATATTTTTAGGGTTTTTATTTTTTAAATTTCAGATCTTTCCTACTATATGTTACTAAAATGCTCATTGTAGCCTATAATATTTAGATTTTCATCATCATCATCATGCAAAGTATAAAAATGTTTTGTTTGTTTTTGTCGTTTAAATATTTCTCGTCTAAATTTCTTCGAAGTAGCGCCCGGCGCACGCCGCTTTCTTCTCGAAATGGCCCGAGGCAAGTGCTATGAAATAGCGCGCGTAAGGCTAGTTCATTAACAATGGAATAGGCTTGCCGTGAAGTTTTAAAAATTAAATACTTTTAAATTTTACAAAGGGGGAAACCGGAAACGTTATTTTTTCAAAGCGAACATTTTGCAAAAAACCGGAATTGAAGTCTCTATAGCTCTTTTACTATCGAAGTTAGGCCCCAGCCAATAAGGTTTCATGGGTACCTGTAAGGGGAGTCCATTCCACATGAACGGGTGATATATAATTATAACTCGTAAAATATTTGTTCCGTCGACGAGTCTAACGGCGCGCGTTTTGGTAGGTTATAAACCTACAATGTACTATGACGTGAGACGAGCGAACAATTAAATAAACTAACAATTGCTGGGTAAGTGAATACATTTTCCATTTTCCAGGTAGCGCAGTTGGTTAGAACGCCTGTCTTACAATCGTTAGGTTGCGAGTTCGAAACCCACTGACTGCCTGGTCGTGGGGTGAGCGTCGTCGACGTTCAGCTAAGGATCATGAGTGGTCTATGCAGCCCCCCGGTCTACTCAGCCGAATACTCGAGAAATCGAGTGTGAGGGTTAAATGAGGAGCTGCACATTGCCGAGCGTACTAAATCACTCTACAGTCGATCTTCGAGATTGTTCTAAAAGGGCCCCCGACAGTTGAAACCAACTACAATCGATGTATTTTCGGACGCTGATTCCGAATCACCCCCCATGACATAGGGTTAAAATGCTCCCCTGACGAGATATAGGCGAAAAACTGTCTCGATCACGTGATATGTCCGTATAAGGAAGTTAGTCTAATTTCTCGTTAGGGTTAGGGTTTCAGCATATGCTTTTGTTAAGGATTGGGTTAGGGTTAGGGTTGGGATCAGATAAGAGGGTTAGGGTTTCGAATAGTCGTTCAGGACCAGCTAGAGAACGGGTTGAAAAAGTCACGTGACAGTCGAGTGTAGAGTGATTAATTATCATCCGCACATTGCAGCAAAGTCTCGGACGAAGAAAGTATGGTACACACTACCTTAACCGTCACTGGCCAAAAAGATCCTTCGGCTTCCTGTAATTGGCTGGTTGCACTTGTGTAACATTGTGGCTGTTGGAATACACCGAAGTAAAATAAGTGTCTAGATTAAAAAAAAATTTCCAAATTTTCGCCCGAAATTTCGCTTCCAGTACCTCATTCGTATTTTAGGCGATTTGAAATTACATACTAATTGAATTTTTCGTTATATAATTGGGCTTTGTACAAACATTCTTTTAAAACACTTATATTTTACTTTAGAAAAGCTCCTATTTGAAAAGCTTTCTCTAGCATGTAGCAACGTTTTTTTCTTCGCACATAATTAAAAAATATAATTATCAACCTTGGCCTTCCAAATGCTTAACCACATGATATTAATATGGCTTGACGGATGTTACTCGTCTAAATTTCTTCGAAGTAGCGCGCGCCGCTTTCTTCTCGAAATGGCCCGACGGCAAGTGCTACGAAGTAGCGCGCGCCGGGCCAGACCATTAACAATGGTCAATAATATGGCTTGTGCCATCCTCAATTCTTCATTCTTGGTTATTGGTCATTGGTGAACTCAATGCAGTAAAACCCCTATTTACTTTAAAATTCCGATGTAACGTACCGCAAATCTTGATTTATCGGGACCATTTTGATTTACTTCCCCCAATTCCAAGTACTAGTAGAATTTAACATATGCGTAATAAAATAATATATAATGTGAACAAACCAGGCACGTAGCCAGGGGGGGGGGCTAGGGGGGCGGCAGCCCCCCCCCCCGGAAAAAATCGAACCCCAGAAAAAAGATAAGCCCCCTAGTCCCCATGGTCGCCTGGTAACTGGGCTGTGTTTATGACTGCAGTCAGTCAAAGATTTGAACTGTGGATTAGTAAATATATGTCATTAAATCCAAGCAAACATTCTAGAAGACTTCTATAATTATAGTCAATAGTGTCCCCTAGACCGTAGGAAATGTAAAAATCTTAAGACGATGAGGCCTGAGTAAGTCGTAAATTCTGATTGGAGAATGCAGATTGCTGTTGTGAAGTTACCAAATTTACGTGAGTACTTGATTCTTTTCAATCCCAGTTTATTGCTGTCCTACAAATTTCTTTAATGCCAAATGTCGTCTAAAACACCCTGTTTCGCAAAAAATTTCCGGGGGGCTGCGCCCCCCTAGCCCCCGCCAAGGGGCTCCGCCCCTGGACCCCGCTGGGGGCTGCGCCCCCAGACCCCTGCCACAGCTTGCTCGCTTCGCTCGCTGCGCAGCTTGATTGGACGCGTCGGCTCGCTTCGCTCGCCGACAGCCCCCCTCAAAGAAAAATCCTGGCTACGTCCCTGGAACAAACAAATGCACGATTTACCGCGGCTGTTCAGTGTTCCCCAAACTCCACGGTAAATCGGGTTTTTGCTTGTTACGTGATCCTTTGAAATATGGATTATAAATGGGTCCCAAGCAAGCTTGTCAGGCTAGTTACTTAAGCTCTCATCACACTTTACTTGACTATTTGTGAGCCATAACCACTAAGTCTAATTGGGAACCAACTAGAACTATGTGCGAAGAAAAACCATGTGAGTGTGACCCGAGGGGGACTAATTCAGAAAATTATACCGGCTAGGCTCTATGTCAGGAAGTGAATGGGCTAGAGTCCTCCGGTTTTTGCAAATTGTTTGTATCGTTACACTTACAGTTAAAATAATATAGTTATATAACAGATTATTTTTAACATTGTAAATTGCAGCGATGTAACGTAATTAATTGTAACACCTCGTCCATGACAAAGGCGTGGGCCGAAACATGTGGACAACTATTTCAATTTGTTTGGGACTGAGTGAGTGGAGACTCTCACTTTTTTCCCCAAAACATCAATTATATGATCGACCCGCTCAAAAGAGCGAAAACAGATTATTAAAATAATATAACGTTTAAAATTAAACGTTAATATAAAGTTCATATAACGTTAATATAACGTTATCGATGATTTAATTGATATGAGGATCTCAGCCCTTTTGAACTATATAAAATGTTTAATTTTGAGCCAAATTAAATTGTTCAGCCAACTGTATAGTAAATCGGGGTTTTACTGTAAGTGTAATTAGTCGCTTGACACAAATTACGTAAATATGGTATAACTCTGGTTCTATAAATAAAATAATCAAAACTTTTACGAAAAATGAAGGTTTGAAACTTAACTACCTTACGAGAAGTATTTAAATGGTACGAAAGTTGGTGGTTTTTCGAAAAAAATACCGTATTTTCGGACTACCTGCAAAATTTAGGTCACCACATGATTCATCAAACAATTAATTAACACTAGTATTCGATCATGAATTGCTTTAAAAATGACTTTGGACACGTTCCATTAAAAATAAGCAAGCTCTGTCACTACTTTAATGGCCACGGCGGTGAAATTTCGGGAGTAGTGGAAGATAACATACACACTGTCGGTCTCCTAATCCTATACCTTCTGCAGGATTATAAGTTAAGTTGAGGCTAACTTTTAAAGGCTCCGGAGAAACTGTTTACAAGATGAAACAGCTGATCAGAGAAGGGGGAGACAAGGTTTTTGTATTTCATCTTCTCGAATATTGGGTTTCATGTTTGTAAAATAAGGAAATGAAAAAAATCCCCAAATACCATGATTTAATTTGGGGTGCGAAATGTGGCGGTTTTCGGAAAAAATTCCCATATTTTCGTTCCCAAATCATTTAGGTCACCGGAATGATGTCGAACATAAATATGTCTTGTAACTGTAAGGTATATCTGGCGTACCGTCTAGTCAAACATAAAAGTACGTCAATCATCAGAACATCGTTTATTTTTTAATAGTTGAGATCCTGGAGAGGTTCGCTGTTTATCAGTCTCATGATAAGATAATGATTCCAGGGATAATATCCGGTAGTAGAGACTAGGTAGGACAAGTGAAACTACTGTTTAGGAGGAAACGCGAGCTTTCAGTGTGCTACACTTTCATCAGGCTCAAATTATTTGTTATATAGTAGTGTTGAAAGTATTAAAACTGATGAAAGTGTAGCACACTGAAAGCTCGCGTTTCCTCCTAAAACAGTTAAGTAGTTTCACTTGTCCTACCGTCCTAGTTACCGGATATTATCCCTGAAATCATCATTTTTAATAGTTGTTCCTATGTTTGACTCTGTGACATTTTATGTTTACAATTATATTTCGTACACTAAATTGTGCCATCATCCAAATTTTATAATTTTAAAAGCAACATAAGTTTTTCAAAACATGTTAAATAGTTAATAATCTGGCGTATCCAGCCACAGACGGGACAACGAAAAATGGGCATGTCAATGAGAGGGAAAATGTTGATTGTTGAACTTGATAGGAGTTTCCTAATATCGGTTAGCGAACAGAAAATGCAGTTGATATAAATCAAATGAACAACAGATTTGGTGGCCAGTTACCTCATCTATAACAGTTTAACATACTATAGATCATAAAATTGAGAATCGTTTTGTTGTTACCAAATCCAAAATCATATCTATAAATCACTTTACTATCGTGAGATCATAAAGTGAATTTGCTTTTCATAACAAGTTTGGGTGTGGCTCAATCTAGATCATACCCAATAAACATGACCATAAGGAACCATAGTATTAGTAATCACTAATCACCGTATCAAAAAGCTGTTCCTACAATTTACGTCGCACGTCGATCAAAGTTTTCTGATGCTATGGTATGTGGTTGGTAGTTAGAGAACATTCACTTGTTCTCCAGAGATTATTCCACCCAAGTTGCGAAGGGTGTGTCCACCTCCACCTAAATCTCACAATAAATGATACATTTCTCTGACCACGTTCTTGTAAACTCTAAATTTAATAAGATCAGATTGGCGGGGCTTGTACGCTCTCCCCTCAGCTAAAAACCGTGCCTAAAACTCATTTACTGTCCCCATCCACCAGGAAGAAAGTAGAGACAAGACAAGCGGCCTAAGTCGTCATGGCAACATTCCGCACATGAGCTGCTCCGAGATCAGGAATGGTCGGAAGTATCCTTGAAGTGTAAATATTCTCACATTGTAATCCTCTCTCTCTCTCTCGCTCTCTCGCTCTCCCTCTCTCTCGCTCTCTCTTTTGCACTTTTAAATTGCAGCTGAGACACTCAACTAGTTGCGGTGACGGGGGCAGGCAGGTGACAAATTTTAAATTTTACGCCGGATTTTAATTCCTAATAAACACATTAGCACTCCTATATAGCGTTTGTTTACATAAGAAAGAAGGACATGGTGCTTGTTTGACGACTCGGCGCTAAGTTAGCACTTGAACAATCACACTTCCTTAACAAATACAGTACTGCTTTGTTGAATTTTCCCACTTTCCGTTTCGGGGAATGTTCAGTGCGTTGTTTTAAACAAAGCAGCTGAAACTTGTTTACTTTAGCGGGAGCGATGTTGTTTGTGGGTTGGACGCATCTCCATTTGAAATGTAATCGCATTTCGGGGACGTTATCTGCATTCTATATTCTCTCTATTTCTTCCGCCGTATGTTCACTTTGTAGATTTTCAGTTATTTTAACGTTATTCATTCTTTGGCTCGCTAAGTTTTCTCAAACTTAATCAGTGATTTTCACCGCATGTTAAGCACTTGATCATGATGGCACGGTAAAAACCGAAACATATGTTTCGGTTTATATAAACGGTTTATATAAACCGTCCATTGTCACATTGTCCATAACTAAAAATTTGCATAGTCACGAACACAAATATGTCTTAATTCACACACCATTTCCAGTCATTCCCTCCAGAAATTTTATATCTTAGCCCTAGTAAAAGATGCAAATTGAAAAGTTAAGTTTCGCTAAGATTCGATCCTAGTCGTACAATAATTTAAATGATTGTCAATACTACGGTGCGTGAGAACATTTGTCGACTATTACATTAACTGGTTTGTTTGAAGAGTGCGGATCAGCTAATTTACCGGTAAAAACTCCCAACTAATTGAATTGACGGCGAGAAGTGGCCTGCAATTAAAGAGGGCAAAGTGAAGGTCCCAATTATTTGCTCCACTGCGCTGTTTGGTACCTACTCCTTAAGTTCCTATCGGAATAATAATTGCTTCGGCAGAGGTCTTTGTGAGTCCATATTCAAATCAGATCCGGGCCGTTAATCGGCGAGAGTATTTATTAAATCTAGTAGTTTGTTCATTACATCTAATTTTATTGGGAGGTGTCGGAGGTGTATTCACAGTACGTTACGATTCGGTGAATCCCAAGTGAATTTAGTGCATCTGGTTTACTACCCTTCGCTCCCGAATTCACGAATTACGAAAATTACATGTTGAATTCCTTCATACTTTTCCCGGCATTTATCATTTATAATTTGTGGTCACAGTGCGAGTTTATGCGACTTAAGCGCTTGACATAATGATGAGCATTAAGGGGTATAACTAATACTATTATGGGGAGTAACTAGCTGGGCCCTCTGAGAATTTGAGCTCGAATAAGTGGCTAGAATTTGAAAATGAGTTGGCTAGTTTCAAAGTTTCAAGCGAACTTGACCTAGATTTGGTGGAAATGTAGAAAGTAAATGGATATATTAAAAAAGGGAGATAAGTTTGAAGAGAGCACATATAATGAGTTCAGACAAATGAGGAGTACTTGAAGAGCTAATACAGCTGAGCATGTCGGTGAGGGTAATAATTCTCTCCTCTGATGACAAAGTTGATTCGATGTAGTTGACAGGCTTCAGGCCTTTAGATGATGGGCCAGGAATCTGATTAATGGTGCGTCCTGACTCCTGGCAGCTGTTTTGTGGAGCTAACAAACAACCAGCCTGATAATAGTCCGATGAGCTGTAATCTGGATCCTTTGATTGAGACCGGACGCCAAATAAGAGGTCACGTGGTACATACCAAACCGTGTTCGTTCACACGTTGGACGCTTAACACCTGGTAATTGAAGTAGACATGTCCACATACCACTGGTACGACAGAATAATCCGAGTGCTGGGTGGTGGGTATCAAGCAACACTTCAAAACACGACCTCGCACCCGCGTCACGTGATGTTGTCCCCGGTGACACGTGGGTTTTCATGTGGGTATCACGTGGGTTGCCGTGACGCGGTGACTGCGCCGCGCACTCCTTGGCACTGTAGCACATGGCATCGTGATTTGGTTGAGTTTGATGGTGCGCTCACGCATGGAGGATGACTTGTGTTGAACCTCTTTGACTTTTGGTTGGCACGTCAGCATGCGTATGAAGCTAACTATTTGGCTCAGAGTTAGATTCGTATTAATTCTTTCTTCAGTCATGCATTGAGTTTTGCATTTTTTATCACAAGTGTGACTGAATCAATTTTATTACTTTTTCGTTACAAGGCATGATAAGACTCTAAACCCAGCAAAACAACTCGTCACATTTCTTGAGCTATCTTATTTATTCTGAAAAAATTTAGTCCGATTAACATTCATCAATTTCGTAATGTATTAAACTTCCGACCATATTACAATTAAAGGGATGTCCGATGTTGACCTAGTAGTGAAGTCCCATCATTGCTATAATTCTATCTGACGTAGTTCCGAGAATTTCTCGTTACAATGTTGCATTTTGCACTCAGTCGATATGGACTGCACTGTCTCACATGACATTCAAACTACTGTTTTATTAATGCGAACAACTGTAATTTATAGCCTCGACACCGAGTTATAATTTTCTGAGATAGCTCTACTACTTTCTGTCGATTTCGATGGGAATCGCACCAGTTTACAGTTGTTACAGCAGGAGTTTAATTCTAGTGTCTGACATATAGTTTCGAACGAACTGTACTTCATTAACTTTGCAAATTCTCTTCGATTGTTTAGTTTGTTCGCGTTTTTTGTATGTGTTTCTCCATTTCCTCTGTGTATTTTCCTTGAGTCACTTTTAAATCCATCATTAAATTATTTCATCTTCGTTAAAATCGAGTACGATGTTTATTTCCTAATTTTTAAACTTTCCTTTAAGCTTGATAAACGAGAATGGTGAAGGAAAGTTCATTCAGTAAGTTTTAATTTAATGCTAATAGATAAGCTTGGTAACGATGTGAAGGCGACGAAAATTAACTTCTATTTTGGAGGAATATCATTCCATTTGAAAAGAAAATTAACGCCTCTTTCCCACTGTAACCATTGTTTCTTAAATTTGAAAATAACTGCTAACCTACTCTTGCGGTAGTTTTATAGCATTTCCATAACAATGTAGCATCCATTTGCCGGTTTAAAAAATGTAGCACAATTGTACCCGGTACCAGTACAGTATCATTTTTGTAATTTTTTAAGAATTACAACTTTTAGAGTTGAAATCGTTTTAAGATCGTATTTTGTTTAAAAATATCGTTTTAAAATGCACTGTTCGCAGGTTCAGTTTCTACGGAAGATTCGCTGTGCGACCAGGATGAAGGTTGCCATGGTAACAACCTGACACACGATGCTGTCGTCAAGGAGGAAGCAAGGGAATGGAAGGTAAGACATTTGAGTATTTGCTGATTATAAAAAGGCCTGATTAGAAAAAGAAAAAGGCCTCTTCAAGATGTCAATCTGTCAAACTATCGAAGTTAATATATTAATAATTAAATTAATATTAACTTGGATAATTTGACAAATTGACATCTTGAAACTTGATTATACTCCGAACCTGTTCAACTTTTTTTAAACAAGAATTTTGCTTGGAATAAGTCAAAATTCAAATGCATTGTTTAAAATCATTTTATCATTAGTTAATGATGTAACACCACACAGGAGTCCCATACCGTCCAAAGATCTCCAAATTTCCCTATTTCTCCTGTCACTCCAGTTGCTATGGTTACCCCTGTTACCATGGTAACGCCCATTTCAACCAGCACACCTTACTCGTAAGTATTCAAAATAAACCTTCTCCTAATTTATGATCAATCCCCTGATAATTCGAATTATCATCGAAAATGAAGTAATAAGAGAGAAGCTGTGTTTAAAATAACGTATACTCTTCAACTAGGGAAAGAAGCAGCTTCAATCATTTTAGATTGACGGACTCTGGATTGGTTTCCATGGAAACACGTCATGACAAGTCCCCAGATATTGCTAAAGAATTTGAGGTAATTTTCTGATTTCTTTTGTCCAGCTAATACCAAATTGTTTAAACCTTTGTTTACAATTCTTTGCCTGTCAAAACGTCGATCGATCACACCTTGTAGTTAAGAAACATGACGAACAATAAAAATAGTCGTATGATTCTGTGATTACATAATTATGTGATTAATCAATTAACAATCTCCCAGGAGTTGAGATGTAGAAACTGCTACAAAACATACGCCACCCCGCTGTCCCTATCCCAACATCACTGTTACAAGTTCAAGTGCGCTCAGTGTGGATACAGGTGACTTATCATTATAATTATATATGAATATTTGTGGGATTTTTAGATTAAACACTCATGCTGAGTGTAAGTTTTATCTTAAAAGTGGTGTTGTTAAACTTCAATTTATTATCATTATAAGTCCGTACCATGGCGATGTTTTATATCATTGAATTTGTTTACCTAATTTGCACGTGGGCGGTCGTGCGAAACTGAGCAGAAATAAAATTTCGAATTTTAAGTTAGTTTATCACAAGGATATATCAACTTACCAACATTTGTTTTGAGTTAAATTTCCAGTGATCTCATGGGAATATTTTATAATTATTTAACAAAACTATATAAACTATATAATAGTCATCCGTTATCTTAACAAAACTGACTGTAAAACCTGTTTTCAGGAGCGTATCAGAGGAGACTATGTATGAACATGTCACCTCACAGCATCAGGATGAAGTGTACAAGTGTGGTATCTGTGATAAAGGTTAGTCTTACCGCCCTGTTGTTATAATGTTGTTATAATTTTGGTATTTTGTAAGTCACTTAGAAATAATGTCAACCGGATTGGTTTCTTATTGGAGTCGATCCTGTTTAATTTATCTGTGGCCTCCTGTTTAATGTGGGAGCGAGTACGTGTCTGCAGCCTGAATTTGGTGTAAAGTCATGAATATGTTTTAATTTTCTTAATAACTTTTCCTTGAATTCGTACTTATCAGTTAAACATGTAATGGTGTAACTTAAAACGTACTTCCTTATGGAAAAGTGGACAAAAGTCAAAAGTACCATGCACCTCAGCACCTGCCACCTGTAATCAACTTTTTAACAATCGCCATTGCTCATCTCCTACATTTCACAGCCACGTATTCAACTTAACTTCTCTCCGAAAAACAGTACTCCTTTTTTGAGGATGCGAGGGCTTATAATTAGCTCTCCCAGAGGACCTTTAGTATCTAAGTTTGGCTTTAAGAGGCAATTCCATGAACAGTAACCATCAGAGAAGTAGGCGCATTCTGTAAATTCCATCTGAATATACGGGCAGTAAATCGGATTTTATAGAGGGGTTAAATACCACATGTATTCTGTAATGTCGTTTATTAATCAGGACTACACCTTGCTCTAACTAAACAACTCAATTGTAGTGCACTACATAGTGCATATATTATAGTGCACATATAGTGCTGTGTCGTCACGCAACCACACAGTGAGTCTATCTGTAGTTGTCAGGGTCAACTTTCTGGGTCAATATTTGGTGGAGTTTTCCATGGAATTAGATTACGTGACTTGAAGATTGAATTGTGGTGCGTATGGTCACGGTTAGCTGCATTTTGAATACAAATCAGAAACTGTAGGTTGAGCTGTTATGCCCAATAAACTAATAAACAAAAGAGTACAAAAAAAAATACATAATTTCCCACTTTTGATGTGGCCAAATTTCTTGAATCTTTTGTTAATGAGCTCCACTCTGTTAGGATTAATATAGATTATTATTGTTAGGTACAATTATAACTGATTGTGATATAAAAACTGAAACGCACAAATTTGCAAATACTGATTGATTCATACAAAGTTTTATACTACAAAGGTATATTGTAAATCTGATCATTGCAAACATTTTGCCCTCCCTGTAAAGCTCCATATTAAGCTTCCCCAATTTACAACCGTTTCCAGAAAGTATGCGCCACCTCCCCACCCTTACCCACGTCAATTAAAACCCCAATCAAGTGATTGAATAAGTGATCACGTGGCCGTGGGAACCTACCAAATCACTGATACTCACTTTTACACTTTATTCCTGAACAATCTCCTCATGTTAACAAGACGTGACCTTTTATACTCCCCAGTAAATCGTATCCCAGGGTGCTCTTGTAAAAATCACCACTTCCGTAAAAAGGATGCCTCTTTAAAATGGTTCCAGGGCTCCCCTGAGGGCGCCCTGGATTTGACCCAACTCCAGTGCTTCCAGCTCTACAATGTCACGTGACCAGCACACCACATGATTTGTCTGATGCAACTCTTGACAAGCACACCGAATTACCCAGTATTACCATATTACCTTGGTAACATGCACCCTGCTGCCATTTTTACCTTAATTTGGGGGACCTGTAAATACTGGTCACTGATTGGCTGGGATTGTACAGGGCCTCTGCATTTCTCGTGCATATTGGTTAGTTACCATGGCAACCACTGGTCACCTGTTATTGGGTATTCTGTCTCATTGGACAGTTTCTTGTACAGGGCAATTGTTTTTATAGCTAATAGCAACATTTGTGTGTCACGTGACAGCTGGGAATACACGTGACAGCTGGGAATGTCACGTGATGGGAGGTGTCCCAGAAGTGTGGAGCCTGCTGTTAAAGATGTTCCTGTCACGTGGACTTATTGTTCATCGCAGCTCATACTTTTCACTGTTGTGCGGGAATCGATAGGTCCCAGCATCAACATTGTCATGGCGCCTGCGCCCTGAATTCGATTTTCCATCACCATGTAACGAAGACTCATTTACTTCAAGTAACAAAACAGTCGAGCTAAAAATTGGTTAATAATTAAAAAATCAGCCTTTAACCCAGTTCTGACAGAACCTGATTTCAGGTTTTGAAGGTTCGCTGTGTCTAGAGAGACACCTCAGCTCTGACCACGACACCCCTTACAATTGTAACCAATGTGGACTGGTAGGTTACTCACAATCACTATTTATATACCTGACTAAGCATCTGTTAACTTGGCAATATGACAAGTTTTCCTTTGCAAAACGGTGTTAGAATCATCCAAAATCCCCTTTTATTATTCCTCCGCATAACTCTGACATTGTTCAGGTGTTTGTGAAGTTTGAAGAGTACAGGTCGCACTGTGCCGGACTCTGTTCCAATACTACTCGGTTGGAGTGTGGAGAATGTGGTAATTCCTTCTTGTCAGCTGACAAACTTCAGGTACTATTCAGTCATTTTTTAGTGCTTATTTGGATTTGTTTGGAGAGGCGAATCATACACAATTTATAAGGCTCTTGAACCATCCAAATAAATCATCGTTAGCGCTGTCAGATGAAATTATGTGATCACTGAAAATTACTCTTCTAATTCTCATTTTGTGTGTATATTTTGCACCTGCTGAAGCTAAAAGCAGTAAGCACCAATTTCATTTGACAATATATCCTGTGATAATATAAACTATACTTTTATGAAAATTGTCTCAAAAATATATATCTTTGCTGGACGATTGTCTAGAGTATAATGAAGCAAGAAGGAACAAGCATTTATGATCCAATTTTTGCCGCGTGAGAGTAGGAAATTTACCATAAATACGAATATTAGGGCTCAGGGTATCAAAATAATGGAATTACTATCGTGCATAATTTTAAATATCAACTTCTCGCTCTGTTTATGCTACTCTATTTGCTTTGTGGTACTCTATTTTCTTTCGGCATGTCACATCTTTATTAAATTTATGTAAAATCTATATCGTAGGTAATCTTGTTTTAGAGGGAGAAGTTAGGGCTAGGGGTACTCCGCACTTTTCGTGATGAAAATGTTTTAAAAAATGCCCACCAACCCTTGGATCTAACGCATCCTGATTAACTTATTCATTGTTCGGTGCTTTTACTTATCTTTTAGTGTTTATCCCGCAGTGATCTTTCACTGTGCTGTGTTTCTCCACCTATAACGTAATTTTCCTAAATTCTTTAGACATGACCACTTCTCAAACCACTCTTTTATATTTAACCAATAATAGCACAGATTTAAACGACCATGAGGCGTGGTCACTGTACAATGAACAGCAAACTAACTTCACTGAACTCTAGTTACCCAGTACCTCGTCTCACTGCACTTGATACCCTGTCCTGATTGGTCAATCCTTGTCACGTGGCCTAACCCCAGCCCTCTGACCGGCCAGTTTAAATCTACTTGTTGTAGATTGGAAGTGAAATGCATGGTCCTGCGCTGATGCGCATTTGACTGGGAATATTAAATTTAGTGTATTAAAGCTGGTTAGTGTCATTAGCTTATAACTAAATTAGTGATACTGGTATCGGACAAGGTGTGGTTATACACAACACTTCATCTCACCACTGTACAGCTCCTCTTCTGGTTGGTTTACCTTGTTTGTCACATCACGTGACCTTGTTTGTCACATCACGTGATGTGGCAGGGCACAGGTCAGGGGTTTGGGTATGGGTTTTGTTGCACGTGTTACCTTGTTGCTTGGTAGCCATGCGGTCGCCATGGGAACCACTTCTTGGGTTGTCACCATGGAACCACGTCTTATTGACCCCATAACACCACAGTTTATTTTCTCTCAATAAAACCAAATATTTTCAATAATTGTGTTTTCCTTACAAATGAATCACATCCAGTTTTCCTAATATACGTCTCATCTTTTATCAATAAACCTGCATACATATAATATATTTTTCAATAAAACCACATATTGCAGTGCCTTCCAGATAACCTAATCTCATATTGCCTCCATACCCAGCAAATTTCATCTCACACCTATTTTTGCATCGAGAGTCGTCTCAAAATACATGTTTCCAGTTATTACGAAATGTTTCATCAGTAACGGATACTATTTATACTTGTTGTTCATCGCTTATTAAAAAGCTTTTCTTATACTTTAGGGTCACATCGACCACGCCTACATGCCTATAAGAGTGTATCCTACATTTTTTCCCAGCTCTGTCTAAATTATTAATGTGTCTGCGAAAGCTTCGGACACCGTACAATAGGTACGTGATGATTTGAAGAGCTCTCAAAAAAGCCCGCAGATCAAGGGAGTGGACCCTGAATTATTAGGTTCCATTCGTCCCCTTTCTCCACCACCACCACCTCCAATCCTCCTATACCTGCCACTCTTGGTAACAAAAAGATAGAATCTATTAAAGTATTAATCAGTGTCCCCCTCTGCACGGGACTCCCTCTCTCTCCACAGTTATATCTAATGCTTGTTACATTCTAATTTGTTCGCTGATACCTGCTCTTTGTACCTGTACTCCCCCCAGAATATTGCCGCCCTGTAAAACTGGATCAGCGTCACGTGGGTTGCCTGGTAACGAGATGATTGGTTGAATATGATCACGTGGTATCGTGAGAAGATCTGATTGGACGAGGGAGCACTATCAAGCTAAATGTTGAACCCTAGGGGGTGAAATCCAGGTGCTCCAAATTAACATGTGAACCAGACTCCGTTAATGGATCCGACCTGCTCAGCCAATCAGGTGTCTTGTCTCAAGTCACGTGACGTTCAGCAACCAATTAGATTGCAGATCCAGGTTAGGGGATCAACAGATCGATCTCTTCGTCTAATAGACACTTGTTACCTGGCCACTCAGTTTTACCACGCGGCACTCCAGTCAGTCATTCTGCAGGTTCACTATTCCAGTAGCCTCCGGAGCCATTGCGTCTAAGTGTATCATCCCTTGAGGTGCACTCCAGTATCATGCATTTCAATGGTAATCTTACTCCTTCCTGTTTTATTTTGTGGTGTCTTTTCAAAGGCACTGTCTGAGATACTTTCAATTGCTGATATCGACTTTTAAAGAATTTTCGGTGAAGGCTTTGATTGCGGTTTAATTCTCTCCGTACAAAGTTTATTTGATATCATATTTTGAAGGGGGCTCCTAACTTTATACATTTTGAATAATATAGTTTTTTGTTACTTTTGTGGCGCACTACTACTACCAAAGTATTCCATTGTTTGTTTTGAAGAAACGACGTATGTCCAGGTTTCATAAAGTCCAATTTTAATGATATCAATACTCAAGAGTAATTTTGGATATCCATATATTCTAATCACTCGTGTGAATTCTTATCACATCATGGTGATTGCTGAATGGGTGATCTGTTCGAGATCTTGATAGCTGATACCCAATTATTGAAATGTTGATATGCCCATTACCCATTTTACTTACTAAGTGGGCCATGCTTATCCATCAAAACCCAATCAGACTGTTTTGACAAGTGATTGACTGAGTGACCCTATCAAATTAGGATAAAGGTACCCAGCCGATCTGTACACGTCATCGTCAATAAGATTGTAACTCGTTTGTCTCTGCCATGCCCTTTATTTCTTTGAAAAGGGTCTCACCACTCACCAGTGAGTATAGGTTTGGCAAATTACTAAGGTCTTTCATAACGTGAAAATTGTAAGCTTTATTGCTGTGGTCGCCAGAATATATTCACTATTTGCTTGATCTCTTTGTTGAAAACGATATATAATTTGTACGTTCGTGATTTCAAGGGAAAATCCGAAACCTTGATGACCTATACTTTCAAAAATTGAAACTGTATTGAATCTAGGGTTTCGAATTGTGTGCCAGTCTATCATCGATCAAATAATTGACCCAATTGGTTTGTTGTCCCGAAAAATATTTTCAATCACAGCAGCAGTCTGGAATTCAGACCGCAAAGCCGAAAAGAGGTGCAGAACCTGCATTTGTGTTCCTCTAAGCTGTGTTTTATCAAAGGTGCACAATTCCCGTAAGCCAGGCCTAATTACCCGTCGCGCCATCTGTTTATTTTAAAGAGTACAAATTGGAGGAGGATCGAAGCTGAAATTGTTAGTGGGGGTCAGGGAGAAGGACGTGGGACCGCAGCGGCCCCCTTGTAGTCATGGTAACTTCCCCCGGTACGGATCTGTAACACCTGTACAAGCAGGCCCTCCTATCATATCGGCTCACACATAGTACTCATCTCATCCAGGGGGCCGGGGGAGCGGGTATAACCTGGTACTTTTGGGCACTTTAGAGGACTTGTCCCACACCCCCCATGCTCCTCTTATCCAGGTCTCACTCGCTACTCAGGTCGTCTAGTACGATTACCAAATTAACAGGGCATCATAGGCTGCAGTGCCTGGTGATCTCTGTCACAAAACACTAACTCACCCTCCAATCACAGCTCGTTTGCCCAGATCCTCGTCCTCTGATTGGCTGAGACCTGGGACTGTGTGAATTGGTATAGCAGGTGCCAATTGGAGGTAGGTTATTTGATTAAAGGGGGGAGCTGGGAGAGAGTTTGGAGATTAGTGTAAAGATTACTAACACGGCGCACTGCACATTACAGTGGAACTACAGTGGAACACAACCCGACACTACTTGCCACCAGATCCCATCTAACGTCATCCCGTTCACCTTCTCTCTCCCGGGGCTGTAGTTTGTAATGATACTTCTTATTTGTAAACAGTGAGGGAGGTGAGCGGGGTTATAGGTGAGAGGTCTGTGATGTCATGCTCTTTTCTTGGCTGTTCTTCACGGCTTGGTGATATGATGATACTTGGTGTGTGTATTTGTCTGTGTTTAAATGCCCATTTCAAATCGAGTGATCTACCCGGATCACTTAAATGGGGCTTCTTGATTGTTCTTTTGTCTGGTCACTCTGGCACCATCCCTCTTACATTGCCTCCAAATGTTTTAGTGTGCATTTTCTAATTGTATCATTTTCACTTGTTGCTTATTCATGGCTCTGGGAGATAACACTTTTTACTTTTGGAAACCCTTTATTAGCCAGTACAGATTTGGCTCTCGACAACTTTAAACTGTAACCGCTGGTCCACAAATCACATTATGCGATTACTAGATATGCAGTGATCACAGCACAAAGCACAAAACTCACACCTGCACCAAGGGAACCATTTCCAGTCCCATATGGTGAAATGTGTAGGATAAATGAGTAAGTGAAATTTGACTCTAACACGAAGCCCCAACGTTTGGTAATGTATTCGGTTGGCCCCACCCAAGTCCCAGCTTTTACTCGTGACTCTATATTATCATCTCCAAGATATTGGTTCACAAATATGATTTTTTCAATTATCTAGATCGGTTGTATTTTCGTCCAAGTTTAGCAGGTTTTGGTTGGGTTTTGATTGGGACTGTATTCGATTAGAAAGTATCGGTCGTGTTTAAAAAAATACCTGAGTTCCCAACCAACATTTAACTTATCTCAAGGTGTTTACTGCATATCCCACTTCTTTCCTATCACGTGACCTACCCCTCATGGTATTGAAATTAATTTGTGTTTACCTAGGAGCTGCAGTCGGCTCTAAGTGCATATATTGGTTGCATGACAAAAGCATTGGATGCCTGTTTTTCATTAACCCTCTCACAAGCATCAATAAATCAGGAGGGGATGGAGTAATGGGATGTTTGATGAAGGAGTAATGGGGGGTAGTGTAGTAAATGGGTGGGGAGGAGACTGCATTAGTGTGATCTGTAATTAGTTTACGTCACGTGATGTAAGACAAACTACCTTCTAATCCATCATGTCCTGACTATTATCGAGCTCATCTGTTATATTAGGTAATGGGTTAAATGTTTCTCCCGTGCCTCAACCTCAGCCAGAGTGATAATCTGACAATTTTCAAGGATGATGTGCATCATAGATTTCAGCAAAATACGAAACATTTCTGATCTTCAAAGACAGATTTGTGTCCCACGAAATTTTCTTTCCTTACAATAATAAAACTATATATTTCCTCTACTAACACAGACTATCCAATAGGAACACATGACAGCTAAACATTTCGCAACATCCCACGTCTCCATGGCAACTCCCATGACGTCACTGAACATGGGTAGTTTCCAGAGCAACCTGGATCTGACTCTCTCAACCCAAGCTCTCCTCCTAAAACACTCCTTTCTTCAGAAACTTGTGTCAGATTTACAGGTTAGATAATCTATTGTGGTAAAATATCGGTATAGTCAGATAAAAGTAATTGTATACAAGTATTCGCAAATGTATATATCATCCCTATTTTGCCATCGGACCTCATTGTTAATGAGTATGAATCGTATTTTCCAGCTCCAAAAAACAAACAAACTCTATTTAATCGTCAATCAAATTACTTGAAGATGTATGATATCTTTACAAAGTCTTAAAGATGATATCAGATATCACTTTTACAATAATACTTCAATTTCCTCTGTCAAACACGAATCTAATCTTTTAACGAGATAATATGATTTTAAGTATTGTGGTAATCAGACTCCACCCTTTGACTCGGTGACTGAGAGGAAGCAAGTTGGTCATGGACATCACATAGAATATTAATATAGCTGGACTCTCAAATATTGTGTAGAAGTTATCATTTCAATTATTTAATCCCTTCAGACTGGTTTGGAAAAGAGCAAGCAACTTCCTAAACCAACTCCTCGCTTCCCTGCAGCTGCTCGGGTAATTATATCATTATTACCTTGTTAGTTTCCTAATTATGTCACATTGCTATGATTAAGTGGATAGTTTACTATTTTTCCTCTTAATCAACTTATTCGTTTATAATAAACTTAGATTGTATCATAGTTTCTCCGGTTAAGTAACTTTGTTTATTTCAGTGCAACAATCTGCTCAACACATCTCCACTCTTCTGTCCGACAGCACTGAAACCGTTCGATCTGACCAAGTTCGGAGGTGTGACGTCACCTGACATCATTAAATACAGTCCTTTAACCTCCCCCGAGATTGCCAAATATGGTAAAAACATAACCTCACCAGACTTCGCCAAATATGGCAAAGAAATGACGTCACCGGATACCTCCAAATATGGAGAGAAGATGACGGAGTCACTTCTCAGGTGCAACCAGTGCTCGGTTTCTTTCGAGACGTTTGGTGAGCTTCACTCCCACTTGCTCCTTCACTCGGTAGCTGTGACGACTGGACTCGATCAGCACTCGATGAGCTACTGTAACGAGTGTGACTCTCATTTCAACAACAAGTTAGTAAAAAGTAAAATTAGGGTAAAATCATAATATACTTTGAAAACATTGATCTAAAATCTGGGGCGATTTGGAAATTTTGATAGGGTGATTGCAAATTATATTATTGCGGCTTTATTTTTTAAATCGCTCGAAATATTTTGTCAGTTGGCTTATGAAATTCTTTCTCTAACCCATGTGTTATTTCAGGTCCTTATTAGACGAACACATAAAGTCAGTCCACGAATCAGAGCGCCCTTACAAGTGCACTCATTGCGACAAAACATTCACACGGTGAGATATTGATACCATTCTTCAATATTATAATCTTAAGTACTTTATTAACGGGGGTTTAGTCCGGGAAAATGGCACTTAAGATTTGGTTTCTCCTGAATGTTGAGCTGTCCAATCTGTCAGAAGCAGCGGGGAGATGCCTTCTAACAAAACTGGACAATAGTATCTGTAATAGTGCCAGTCTCTATTATTTCCAGTCTATAGATCAACCAGAAGAGCGCCATCTACCATGATACTTCCACCTTCTCACTTCTCCTCGTCCATTCAATATCGCGTTGTCATGGAAACCAATGCCAGACGGTGAGGATTTATTTTCTGCAGCTCACCTCCCGGTCCAATGTTCAGTCAGTCTCGCACTTCCTGAAATCAATCTCCTTAATTCCCTCGGTGCAGTCTGCAGACATTGCTTTTTGGGGTAAAATCCGCTAATTTCTCCCACTTTCTTTCTACCAACCCCTGGTTCCTCTTATCCCTCGCTCCCCCAGTGCAACGAAACAATTTGTCGCTGGCAGTGCGACCGACCCCGATCTCAGTTTGGGATGTCACGTGATTGGGAGTTGGCTTCTGATTGGCCGGAGTGAGATGAGGCTGGTCTGTGATAGGTGGATTTTACCATCCCAGCACTATCCCCTTTCGGAGCGCATATGTCAATTTAGCAGCTGTGAAATTCTAATTACATTTCGTCTAGGCATTTGTTTATCTTACCGTCCGCAATTCATTACCTGTAAGCACACTTCTCATTGGACCCCGGGAACCACGTGATCGGTGAACTGGTCTGTGATTTGTTACCCAGCAACGCACGTGTAGCTCTGGTTGTAAACACGGTGATCTGCGGATCATACTCACTGTGTACCCAACACCACCAACCAACCATCTTAATCACGTGATAAAAATAACCGCGTCTGATTGGCTCACCCGACTGAAATACTCTTCTCATCAGCACCGGTCTGGAAATTAGTGCTGGATGAATCGGCTGGAAAATATAATTCAAATTTTCGACCATGAAATTTTGCAAGAAGTTTTCCTCAAATCTCTATCTTATACCTAAAATTCTTTCGAATATGATCATATTTTAAAACTTTGAAGGCATGCACTTCAATAATTCGGCTGAAACTATGTTTGAGGTTATTATCTGCTCAAGCCACTTTCCTTTTAAACTTTTAACCAGATTTTGACTTAACATACCTTTGAAGTATAACACGGTAAAAACCCGCAAGTTTTCACACCCCCATTCCCACAGGTCCAACAATCTACAAGAACATCTGAGAACCCACACGGGAAGTCGACCCTACGTGTGCTCATACTGTGACAAAAGTTTCGCGAGATCCTCCATTCTCCACATTCACATGAGAACCCACACCAAAATCAAACCCTTCCAGGTAACTGAAAATCTCATTTTCATGGAAACTTGTTTTGAACCGGTATATTTGATAAGGGGCAAGGCTTTTAGAACATCGATTATCCCTAGGTACCTAAGCAATAACAAGCTTAGAAAGATGCGTGAACGAGCGGTGATTCTTTCAAGTTCTGCCTATATGCATTCTTGTTAACAAAATATTTGAGCAGATTTATGCCATTATATTTAAATATGTGTGACCTTTAAAACACGCCCTCTTCTCCAAATGTGTGGTTTTAAACACACCCTCTTCTCCAAATGTGTGGTTTTAAACACACCCTCTTCTCCAAATGTGTGGTTTTAAACACACCCTCTTCTCCAAATGTGTGGTTTTAAACACACCCTCTTCTCCAAATGTGTGGTTTTAAACACACCCTCTTCTCCAAATGTGTGGTTTTAAACACACCCTCTTCTCCAAATGTGTGGTTTTAAACACACCCTCTTCTCCAAATGTGTGGTTTAAAACACACCCTCTTCTCCAAATGTGTGGTTTTAAACACACCCTCTTCTCCAAATGTGTGGTTTAAAACACACCCTCTTCTCCAAATGTGTGGTTTAAAACACACCCTCTTCTCCAAATGACGTACTAACCACCCTCCTCTTCACAGTGCAGCGTGTGCCCAGCCGCGTTCAGCCACAGCAACAGTTTACAAGCTCACTTGAGGCGACATACTGGGGCTAAACCTTACGTCTGCCCGGTCTGCTCCAAAGCTTTCCGACAATCAGGTAATATTTCAACTCCATTTCTGATTTTTATATTTATTGCGTAGGCAGCAGTTGCAGTAGTTTAGATCTACAAATTATTAGCTAGCTTGCTATTACTAATCGTCATTTGTTATCTTTAAGATTAAATGCGACAGTGATCTATGAAAAGTGTGACGTCATGCATCAGCATGTGCACTTTGTTACCATGGAAACTAACACCATGTTCATTCAAGGTACCCTCCATCGTCATATACGGACTCACAACAAAACCAAACGATCCGACCAACTCAAACCAGACCTGCCTGCATCCTTTCCCGGTAACCATGGTAACTACACCAACTTGGCCCTGAAACTGCTTGGCCAACTGAGCTTTCCAGAGAACAGGAACAAGGAAAACCTCCCGGAAATGGAACTGAAGCAGATCTAGAGGAAGTTGGCAGGAAAAACCAAGGTTACTGTAACTTTGGTAACCGAAACTTTGGTAACTGTAACTTGGTATTACGTGGGACAGCACCGATGTATTTAAAGCTAAGACTAAGAGCAAGGCGATTATTTTGGACGATTTGTATCACCAATTTGGGTTATAGTTGTCAGTAATTTAAATTAGGATTATCATTATCAATATCTGTTAATGTTATACGTTTTTACTAATAACAGACAGTGACTGTTATAAATCCGTGGTTCCGCGCTCTTATGGTCATGGTGTATTACTGTAAACCTAAACTGGTTATGGTAATTCAGATTTCATTAGAAATAAGCGGATTTATATTTCATCGTCAATTTATAATTATACTTTTTTCAACAAATTATAACATTATAACATAATATATCATTTGTACGACTTGTACTATTTTGTAGCTTTCTAAAAGTTTTTACCGTTTTTAAGATTTTATATTTGACGTGCTTATCTTTCTCATCGATAAGGAGTCAAGTAAAACTTCTTGAAAACTTTATGTTATATATTGAGTGTTTTGATATTTTGTTATAAATCAATGTTACTTTAATCATTATGTATTTCATTTAATAGCATTCTATTCGCTGGTTTTAATTGTGAGTGCTTAAAATCTCTCATCAAAAATATGTAAAATATCAAAAGACAGAGCGTAGTGTCCCGAGGATACGCCAACCAGTCTAGTATAAGGGGGGCCCCCCAGTATAATGGTCCATAGTGAGGATTATCTGTAGGATGAGTAAGGCCAGGGGCTGTTTATATATTTCTGTTATATATTTCAAGTAGGAACGGTGGCGCCAAGCTGTATCAGTGGCGCCATTGTTCTACAAATAATGTAGTGGATCCAAAGATATTTTATCAAGGATTACAAAGTTTTATATTACAATCGTAATAGTTAAAATATTATAATATTAATAGTCGTGTGACGTATAATATAGTAAAATATTAGTGTTGAGTAGTTTTGACCTGGGGACCCCAGGCTATTACATTTATGTTCATAATCATAATAGAATAGAGATTCGGCGGAATGACAGGCTGAGCGTCGCCCAGTGAAGTAGTTTTCGAGCAAATTCTGTTCGTTTTTGATCTAGTTTGGGAGTAGAAAAAGTGTAAGACGTGGTAAAGGAAAGTGACTATGTCTATGGTGGAAGATTGGTCTGAGTTTAAAGCGAGTCGAGAAAACGCTGACTATTCTGGTCCTGTCACTAGTCTACGACCTCTATGTCTATCAAATGGTGCTCGTAAGATATTATCCATGATTGTACTGAATAGAATTGAAGACAAAGTTGATGCTTTCACTGGTAGCACGCAGGCGGGGTACAAACATGGCAGAAGTTGTGGTGATCTAGTGTGGGCTGAGCGGATGTTGATATCGGTTGTCACGCGTAAACACTTCCAGTATCACAAGATGGGCATAGATATGTCTCGAGCATTTGACACAATCAAACGCCAAACAATACTTGACCTTCTTGTCAAAGCTGGTTGCACAGACGAACTATCTGCTGTATTCGAGAGTGTTCGAGAGTCTTCTTGGGTCCTTTCAACTTCAAGGTGACAGTCTCTCCGGCAAGCTTTTCACTCTTGTCCTTGCAGGAGCTCTTATAGAACTACGCCATCGACTAGCAGAGTCTCCCCCACACATACCCAATCCCCCTATTTCAAAAGAAGGTATGCCACTGGAGTCAGCGTATTCAGATGATTGTAACTTCATGAACGTGGAAAAAGAATCCTTGGAAGCTATCCTACCAATAGCTAAGGAGGTCTTCAAGGAGTTTAACCTGTTCATTAACACAGAGAAAACAGAATTTACCCATGTTTTCCTCGCTCCTGTTGGGGAAACAATCCCTGGTCGTGATGATACCATGTTACGTGGAAATGAAGATTGGCGGAAGAGTAAGATTCTTGGGTCATTGTTGTGTAGTGAAAGTGATATAGCTGCTCGATGCATTGTTTTGTTTGTTTGGGGACCGGTTTTTTATACCCGGCCAATGTTTACAAAATCACAATGCTGGCAAGCATTACCGTCGCCCTTATATTCACAATACTATTTACCCCCTATACTATTATATCCCCTTTATTGTTTTCCAGGCATTAAGACTTTTTCGAAAGTAGTTCAGCAGGTACATTTAAGTTCAAAACATTCTAATTCAATGTTAAAGATGACAGGAATAAGAAATAGTTATATGGAGGTTTTTAAGAAATTTGCGCAAAATACGCGCCAGCATGTTATACGAAATTAGGTAAAAAACCCAAAATCGCCATATTCAGGTGCCTTAAAAACCATGTTAAAATTGAGTTAGAGATCTGAAACTTTGCAGGGCGTCTAGACCTTGTCCAAGTCGACAGTAAAAAAATTTCATGTTTCAGGAGTATCGGGAAGTGGGTTTCCTGGAACCCCTGTTTTACAACAGATTGTCGTGAAGATATATATATATGATAGATATATATATAGACGCTTTTTGCAGTCAATTGTAGCCTACATTTAAGTGTCCGTAGATTCAAAAGAATAAAAGATACAGTCATTTTGAACCACAGGTTTTAAAGATAATCGTTTATACCTCAGTTTACTTTATATTGAAAAATAATTTATCATCATCATCATCACTTGATGACGTCATCAATTTAAGTGTTTTTAAAACTTGATTTTTGACAAAACAACAACTTTTCAAATCGATTTTACACCATTAAAGAGTAATCTTATTCAAAATCTGAGGACATTTTCACCTTAGATAATTGTTCAAGCATTCTAAAAATCTACCGGAAAAGTTTCCTACCTTACTCCTTCATAAAGATATTTGCTATTGAAGTTAGTGCTTTTTTGAAGAATAATTTTATAAAAACACAAAAGTTGTGAATTAGTATTCTCTGGTGTTGGGCTATCCCTTGGGTTGTGGAGCTCAATTTTGCTTCTTAAAGGTGTAAATTGTGTTATAGGCTAGTTTTAAAGTTAAAAATCGAAAAGTTGCACACGTGGGGACACGCCCAAATTGATTTAAAATAGCTAAAATCACTAAAAATTTTGATTTTCATGATTTTTATCAACTTTGGAGTCCCGTTGTGATCCAAGTTCTTTTTGAAATCTTCTGAAACTTTGCATGCTTATCAAACTATATATTAAATACCACTATGCAAAAATTTACGGTGATTCAATATTGTATGCGCACGCAACGTCCGCTCAAAGTTTGCACGTGCGAAAGGTGAGAATTTTGCTCATTCGTGATTTCGAATATATTCTGCTTTCCACGATATTTAAATGGCATTATATATGAACTAGTGTAACCCGGCCTACGGCCGGGATTTCACTGCCGCAGTTAAAAAGGGTAGGAGTAATTACCCGCTGAGTCAAAACCCGGATTAGGCGAGCAATTCGGAGTGCCCTCACGTATCCAATAGTATGCTTAAAAGATAGTAATTCTTAATCAATAATCAATAGAAATTAACCCTTAACACCATGCACCACACCAGCCTATCATATTTGTGAACATGCATTACATTGTCGTATGAAAGTATGAACTCTCTCTACAGTCCAAACAGACCGTTTGAGCACTCCCTCCCCTAATAAGTTTATCTAGTATTATATGACCATGTAATATATACGCCATGTAATATATACGCTACATAATATTATGCAGAGAGAGAGAGAGAGAGAGCAACTGCAAGCCCCGTAACTCTTGCCGTTCTGCTCACGCAATTTTATGTAACATTTGTGGTACAAAACCATCAATTAAACCACTTACCATCGGCCGATTTAAAAAAAAATTTCCTATGGGCTTCATCAGAGTTTTGTCGACACTATGCCGAAAAAATCAGTCCCGTAACTCTTACCGTTTTTTTTGTATAACCGACCGGAAATTACACACGGACAGACAGACAGACAGACACACACACACACACACATTCTGGTGTTATTAAGGTGATTTAATGCCAACTTGAATGAGTAAAAAGTGCCATATTCAGTCGGTTATCGACAGATATACCTAACTAAACACAAGGAAACGTTTTCAAAGGCAGAATTTCGAAATCGTCGAAATTACCTCCTTGTTAATGAAGTTTCGACTAGCTGTGTAAATTATCCTGACATTATAATCAAAAAGAGATGATATTTGACCAAAACCCATAATCATGGGTAGAGTGTACCGCTGCCAGTGTCTCTCTTTTCCAAACAAAAGGAAATGATATTAATTCGAGGAACAGTCCGCTAATGCAAATTGATACCGAGAATGAAATCGGTCGCTCGCTTTTTCAATTCGATCACGGCTCACGAATTGTAATAAAGCTTATTGATTTGAAAAAGCGAGCGACCGATTTCATTCTCGGTATCAATTTGCATTAGCGGACTGTTCCTCGAATTAATATCATTTCCTTTTGTTTGGAAAAGAGAGACACTGGCAGCGGTACACTCTACCCATGATTATGGGTTTTGGTCAAATAATATAATACATAACAATATAATTTTATTTAATATGCGTGAATATGAAAATTGAAAATGTTGATTACGTCTCGGTCTATTCATTAAAAACAAAAACAGAAACTTTAAAAATTAAAACTTGTATATCATGATTTATTATCATATAGTGACAAATAATTTGATTTGATACGACAGATGATCACACGCACTGTTTTATAAGCTACTTGAGGTTAAAACAAAAAAGAATAACTGAGCCCATGTCTTATCAGCACCTGCTAGCGCTATCTATATGATGCTATTAATATGACAGTGAATGGGCAGTGAAAAAAGTGGCATATGGTTGATAGTGACTAGTGTGCTAACCGTCTGGTTTTATTTATTCCTTAGTTTATTCTCGGTAGTTGATTTGTTGCTGGGAACAATGCCTTCTATAAGTTCACCAAGATCTGGTCTCAGCAGAATATCTCCGTTACCAGAAAGATAGCAGTATACGAAGCCCAAATTGTATCAATCATCATGTACAATTGCAGTAGTTGGTGTCCTACTGCAAAGTCACTAGAAAAACTAGACATTTGCCATAGAAAACACCTTAGATCATTACTAGCTGAACATTTATTGGCCTCATGGAACAATATCCAATGCAAACTTATACCTAAGATGCAACTCAGTAAAGCTATCAGATCGTGTCCCTAAATAAAATCAAAGTGGAAGCTCCTAGGTCATATCTTGCGTAGTGCTGATGACTCCCCCGCTGCATTAGCGTTAAAGTTTGCTGTCACAACAAACTGTAAAGGGCGCGTCGGTGCGCATCGTAAGAATTTTTTCAAGATTATTGTGAATGATTTGACCCGTAGAGGTTTAAAACTTAACTCTTTGAATGATCTTAATAAGCTTAAGATATTAGCCGATGATAGAGTTGCTTGGAGAAACAAATTTTTACTCTAGCTGTCTCAAATCTGTACTGATCACCATTTTAGGATGACTTGATTTCTTTTAGAGGTTTTGAATATTTTAATGGTGTAAACAGTTTCTTAATAATAATTGCGAAAACTTCTGAAAAAGAAATCTTGCGATGATTTGATTAAAAATAAGATATGTATTAGGTATGGGCTTCAATTTTATAAAATTGTAGGATGGATTGGTGAGATGGATGGTTTTATTGCACCAATAGGCGATTATGTCTTGCAGTCTTAATTCTCAGTGCAATAACCGTACTCGAATGATCAGGTGACTGTTGACACCAGTTCAAGATAAACAAGCATCTGAGTCTCGGAGGTGATTGGTGATGTTTAGAGAGTGAGGTGCTGGCAATCCCATCCGTGAACATATAACTGGTGTCAAGGCTTGTTGGTATAATTAATGGGGCATTGGGGAAGGTAACCCCCAAAGTATATAATGCAAGCCAGATTTAAGTAAGATATCAAGTATTTCTACTATATAAATCAAATTCAATTGCTACTAATTTCGATTATAACAATGGAATCCTTCATTTACCCCTCTTACCAAGATGTTACCAGTTTGGACCACCTACCAGAACCGGAACCAGTGAGCCCTTCCTACCTCTCCTGGACCATCCCTCTCTCCTTCAACTTCACTTTCCCTGAGCTGGAACTTCCTTCCCAATGTCGAGATAATTCCACTTGCCCCACGAATATTTTCACTGTTCCAGCAATGGAGACATTCACTGGATCTGACACTTCCTCTTCGGAAGTTCTGACTCATCTTCCAGCGAATCCTGCTGTGGATATGTCTATCCTACCTCCTCTCAAGAGTTCACACAGATCTCCCTGTCCTTCTCCGAGTACTTCACCTGCTAGCTCACCGACTTCAACAAACCTGTCCGACCAGGCAATCACTGCACAGTCCCTGTACGATGAACAGCAGTTCGACGAGCTTAAGTCTTACCTCTCCGTCAGCTACTTCCCTTCCTCAGACCATCCTCACCTCCAGAAACTCTACTACAATTCTCTTTACGAGCTCTATAAGATCTCTTCCGGCAAACGACACCTGATTCCCACTACTAAATATCGATTGAGAAAATCAAACCCTCTTCCCTCTACAATTTCGTCCGTGAAGTTCCAGAGCAACAACCACTTTGACGACAATGTCAAATCCCTACTTCTTTCTGTTTTCAAGAAAGAGAGAACTCCCTCCCAGGAAACTATTCAGATGCTGAGCGAGAACACTGGTCTGACTGAGAGACAGATCAGAAACTTCTTCAAGAACAAAAGATGCAGAGCTTAAATGATTATTTGATATTTTATTGTGTGAATATTACAATTTAAAAAAATAAATTTATGAAATCATTTTGTCCCATTCTCTGTCAGTTTTTGAAGATGAAATTTCCATGACCAAAATTTTACAGTTTTGACTGGATTTTTCACCCACATTCCGCAACCATTTAGTAGTTCAACTATAATAGATGTTAAGTGACACGATTGATGTGCTAGAAGTTTGATTGAGGTCGGAGGAAGCTCACAGCAGAAAGCTTTATAACAAACAAATTGAAAAATCATATTGTCCCATTCTCTGTCCCATTTTCAGTTTTTGAAGATGAAATTTACAGGACCAAAATTTTACAGTTTTGACTGAATTTCTCACCCGCAACCAATTATTCAGTCAACTATAAATGTTTTTGGTTTTGACGGATGTTACTCGTCTAAATTTCTTCGAAGTAGCGCGCGCCGCTTTCTTCTCGCGCGCCGGGCCAGATCATTAACAATGGTCAATAAATGTTAAGTGACACGATTGAGGTGCTAGAAGTTTGATTGTGGTCGGAGGAAGCTCACAGCAGAAAACTTAACAAAACGAAAATTCATATTTCCAATTTCTGTCCCATTTTCAAATATGAAAATTTCTAAACACAAATTTGACAGATTGGATGAAATTTTTGCCCAGAGACCAATTAGTCAGTCAATTGATTATGGTATGAAACCAAATTGAGGTGCTAGAAGTTTGATTGTGGTCGGAGGAAGCTCACAGCAGAAAGCTTAAAAAACGAAAATTCATATTTTCCAATTTCTGTCCCATTTTCAAATATGAAAATTTCTGTCCCATTTTCAAATTTGACAGATTGGATCAAACTTTTGCCCAGAGACCAATAAGTCAGTTTATTAATGATGGTATGAAACGAAATTGAGGCACTGGAAGTCAAAATGCAGCGGAAAATTGAAAAATCATATTTTCAGTTTTTGAAGATGAAATTTCCAGGACCAAAATTGTACAGTTTTGACTGAATTTCTCACCCGCAACCAATTAGTCGTTCAACTTAAGATGTAAAGTGACACGATTGAGGTGCTAGAAGTTTGATCGAGGTCGGAGGAAGCTCACAGCAGAAAGCTTAACAAAACGAAAATTCATATTTTCCAATTTCTGTCCCATTTTCAAATATGAAAATTTCTGTCCCATTTTCAAATTTGACAGATTGGATCAAACTTTTGCCCAGAGACCAATAAGTCAGTTTATTAATGATGGTATGAAACGAAATTGAGGCACTGGAAGTCAAAATGCAGCGGAAAATTGAAAAATCATATTTTCAGTTTTTGAAGATGAAATTTCCAGGACCAAAATTGTACAGTTTTGACTGAATTTCTCACCCGCAACCAATTAGTCGTTCAACTTAAGATGTAAAGTGACACGATTGAGGTGCTAGAAGTTTGATCGAGGTCGGAGGAAGCTCACAGCAGAAAGCTTAACAAAACGAAAATTCATATTTTCCAATTTCTGTCCCATTTTCAAATATGAAAATTTCTGAACACAAATTTGACAGATTGGATGAAATTTTTGCCCAGAGACCAATTAGTCAGTCAATTAATGATGGTATGAAACCAAATTGAGGTACTGGAAGTCAAAATGCCGCAGAAAATTGAAAAATAATATTGTCCCATTTTCAGTTTTTGAAGATGAAATTTCCAGGACCAAAATTTTACAGTTTTGACTGAATTTCTCACCCGCAACCAATTAGTCAGTTCAAATATGAAAATTTCTGTCCCATTTTCAAATTTGACAGATTGGATCAAAATTTTGCCCAGAGACCAATAAGTCAGTTTATTAATGATGGTATGAAACGAAATTGAGGCACTGGAAGTCAAAATGCAGCGGAAAATTGAAAAATTATACTGTCCCATTCCCAACACAATCATTCTCTGCCATAGACCACAACTAGCCGATCAAAGACAAAATCTCCACGGATGAAAGGCTACTGTGTAGTAAATCTCCGTCAATAAGGTCGTCACTCGTCAGCCTTTCGAGTGTATTAGCTTGTGATATATCGCCACATCTTTTACAGTTTTGACTGAATTTCTCACCAGCAACCAATTAGTCGGTCAACTATAAATGTTAAGTGACACGATTAAGGTGCTAGAAGTTTGATTGAGGTCGGAGGATGCTCACAGCAGAGAGCTTAACAAAACGAAAATTCATATTTTCCAACTAGCCGATCGAAGACGAAATCTCCACGGATGAAAGACTACTGTGTAGTATGTAGTAAATCTCCGTCAATAAGGTCGTCACTCGTCAGCCTTAGAGTGTATTAGCTTGTGATATATCGCCACATCTTTCAAATGCAAAAACTCTCAATTTCTATAAGCTGCACAATCTGAACGTACGTGATCAGAAAGTTTCATCATAAAAGTTCCCCAAAATTCCCCAAAATTATTCAAAAGTATTCAAAATTATTCAAAATTATTCAAAATTTCTCTAATATACATTAATACCCATTAATGTTAACATGTATGTTATTATAAAGTATAATCTTAACTTACTTGTCGATACTTGCAGCATGATAATTTTTTTGGCATGATAATTATTTTGGGGAACTTTGGGGAATTTTGGGGAACTTTCCGAAGTTCCCCAAAAAAAAGTTCCCCAAAATTCCCCAAAATTATTTGTTTCATTGATAATTTTTTGGGGAACTTTGGGAAAGTCCCCCAGGTTTCCTGAAGTTCCCCAAAAAAAGTTCCCCAAAACTCCCCAAAGTTCCCCTTGGACCCCCCCCCCTTTATTGCGTAGGCAGCAGTTGCTGTTTAGATCTACAAATTATTAGCTAGCTTGCTATTACTAATCGTCATTTGTTATCTTTAAGATTAAATGCGACAGTGATCTATGAAAAGTGTGACGTCATGCATCAGCATGTGCACTTTCTTACCATGGAAACTAACACCATGTTCATTCAAGGTACCCTCCATCGTCATATACGGACTCACAACAAAACCAAACGATCCGACCAACTCAAACCAGACCTGCCTGCATCCTTTGCTGGTAACCATGTTGATTCACGATGTCAATCCTTCGCAGCTCGGTGAGGCACAGTGGTGCATCTCGCCGATCTACCGAAGTGGTTGCGAGAAGCATTATTTGATGCGCGCGCGACCCAGTAGTGCATCGCGCTACAAGTAACCATGGTAACTACACCAACTTGGCCCTGAAACTGCTTGGCCAACTGAGCTTTCCAGAGAACAGGAACAAGGAAAACCTCCCGGAAATGGAACTGAAGCAGATCTAGAGGAAGTTGGCAGGAAAAACCAAGGTTACTGTAACTTTGGTAACTGAAACTTTGGTAACTGTAACTTGGTATTACGTGGGACAGCACCGATGTATTTAAAGCTAAGACTAAGAGCAAGGCGATTATTTTGGACGATTTGTATCACCAATTAGGGTTATAGTTGTCAGTAATTTAAATTAGGATTATCTTTATCAATATCTGTTAATGTTATACGTTTTTACTAATAACAGACAGCGACTGTTACAAATCCGTGGTTCCGCGCTCTTATGGTCATGGTGTATTACTGTAAACCTAAACTGGTTATGGTAATTCAGATTTCATTACAAATAAGCGGATTTATATTTCATCGTCAATTTATAATTATACTTTTTTCAACAAATTATAACATTATAACATATATCATTTGTACGACTTGTACTATTTTGTAGCTTTCTAAAAGTTTTTACCGTTTTTAAGATTTTATATTTGACGTGCTTATCTTTCTCATCGATAAGGAGTCAAGTAAAACTTCTTGAAAACTTTATGTTATATATTGAGTGTTTTGATATTTTGTTATAAATCAATGTTACTTTAATCATTATGTATTTCATTTAATAGCATTCTATTCGCTGGTTTTAATTGTGAGTGCTTAAAATCTCTCATCAAAAATATGTAAAATCTCAAAAGACAGAGCGAGGATACGCCAACCAGTCTAGTATAATGGTCCATAGTGAGGATTATCTGTAGGATGAGTAAGGCCAGGGGCTGTTTATATATTTCTGTTATATATTTATGGCGCCAAGCTGTATCAGTGGCGCCATTGTTCTACAAATAATGTAGTGGATCCAAAGAAACTTTATCAAGGATTACAAAGTTTTATATTACAATCGTAATAGTCAAAATATTATAATATTAATAGTCGTGTGACGTATATAGTAAACTATTAGTGTTGAGTAGTTTTTACCTGGGGACCCCAGGCTATTACATTTATGTTCATAATCATAATAGAATAGAGATTTGGCGGAATGACAGGCTGAACGTCGCCCAGTGAGGTAGTTCTTGAGCAAATTCTGCTCGTTTTTGTATCTAGTTTGGGAGTAGAAAAAGTGTAAGACGTGGTAAACGAAAGTGACTATTTCTATGGTGGAAGATTGGTCTGACTTTAAAGCGAGTCGAGAAAACGCTGACTATTGCGAAAACTTCTGAAAAAGAAATTTTGCGATGATTCGATTAAAAATAAGATTGGTATTAGGTATGGGCTTCAATTTTAGGATGGATAAGTGAGATGGATGATTTTATTGCACCAATAGGCGATTATATCTTGCAGTCCTAATTCTCAGTGCAATAACCGTACTCGAATGATCAGGTGACTGTTGACACCAGTTCAAGATAAACAAGCATCTGAGTCTCGGAGGTGATTGGTGATGTTTAGAGAGTGAGGTGCTGGCAATCCCATCCGTGAACATATAACTGGTGTCAAGGCTTGTTGGTATAATTAATGGGGCATTGGGGAAGGTAACCCCCAAAGTATATAATGCAAGCCAGATTTAAGTAAGATATCAAGTATTTCTACTATATAAATCAAATTCAATTGCTACTAATTTCGATTATAACAATGGAATCCTTCATTTACCCCTCTTACCAAGATGTTACCAGTTTGGACCACCTACCAGAACCGGAACCAGTGAGCCCTTCCTACCTCTCCTGGACCATCCCTCTCTCCTTCAACTTCACTTTCCCTGAGCTGGAACTTCCTTCCCAA